ATGATGCTGAAAAGACCCTCGTCCACCCTCAAAACTGTTTCAATGGGCAGAAATTTTTACGAGTCTTTTTTACATTATTTCCTCTTTTCTTTTGTCTAACTACCCCATTTCGTTCCATTTAGAGTGGTTATGCAGTGCATCTAATGTGCATACAAAATGAGTGGCTAAATCTGGACTCTCGGTGAAAGTATGGACAATGGGCCTGCTGCCAACTTTAGCTAGAGCAGTAAGAAGAATTGTTCCTTATAGATAACGTCTCAAAAATCACGGTGAGCGGATCCGCAAAGTCTGAAATGCACTCTTAACTTCACAATCTGCGCAAGGAATTGGCGTTTTTTTTTTTTTTTTTTTTTTTTTTTTTTTTTAAGATTCCCGCTTCAAACAGGATACTATAGCACAGGTGAACATTTTGTCAGATGAGTCGTTCCATTCAATCCTTGCTCAACATGGTCGACGCGACGCTTCCGTGCGCAAGTTGAGGAGAGCACGATGCCAATGAAGGCGGCTATCTATCAACGCGAGAAAAACGTGAATGTAAACACGCCTATTGTTATCAGGTGGTTAGAATCATCGTCCCACCACATGTGTTTTGGCGGATTGGCGTCGGCTATGTTGAATATTGCGTGGTATCCTTGTGAGCAGGGGTTGCGTGGAATGACTCCTCTAACAAAATGTTCACCTGTGCCGTTGTATCGTTTTTGAGGCGGGAAGCTCGAAAAAACGCAAATTTCTTATGCAAATTGTGAAGTGAGTAGTGCATTTCAGACTTTGCCGATGCGCTCATCGTGATTTTATAGACATTTTCTATGAGTATTAAAGGATTGTAACTCCTTTCCAACGTTGCAAAAGTATATACATTATATGGACCGCGTTTAACAGAAAGGAAACAAGCCACATCAGCTATTGCCAATTTTAACTGGGCACTTTAATTTTTTACGAGAAAACGTTTGTGCGGATCCCTTTGAAAATGTTAAGGAATTTGCTTTGTATTGTGGAGAAAATTTACTGAAATTTGCACGAAAATCCGCACAACTGTTTTCATGTAAAAAATTAAATTTGGCAATAGCCGATGTGGCTTGGTTCCTTTTTGTTTAACGCATATAATAATACATACATACAATGGTAATGGTTGTCCATATAATAATATACATAAGGTTATCTTATTAGTTTTGGTTCGAACCGCTGAGTCCAATATTGTACCGAATGACGTAGTCGCTAAATCAGTCTATTGTAGCACTGAACGCAATGAGCAGGGTCGATTAGATGCACCAGTCAGTCACCGTGCAATGTGCATCGGTGGTTAGTCGAGGCGATGTCAAGAATCTGCATTACGGAGTGTCCTCTCCTAATCCTAATGGGCTGCGCTGAGGATGGATCCAATTAGACCCGAAACGCGCTCACAGTCGCCTCCCTAATTGGTCGTTTTGGTATCGCTCCAAGTAGCACATTAAATCTTTCTCAGGGATTTAAATCCGCGAGCCTCTTTTCCCTATTATAAGAGCGTGATGCTTATATAAAGCGTAATGCAGTTTTCTTTCTTTCGCTAACCATCAATCAGAATGGAATATAACCATTTGGATATAGAAAATAACTTTCGCCTCTCCCTATTAAATTCTTTCGCTCGTTTTTGAGGGGTCTCCAAAATATATTGTGTCTATCTACAATGGATGGAAAACAAATTTATCATCGACTACTTTGAAATGACCTAGAAGATACGGCCCCCTGTTGGAACGCGCCGCCAGCACCGCAGTGTTAATGCCAACGTCTAGATACAACTATTCGAACTCTTAGGATGTCCGTATTGCCTACTTGTAAAATTGAAGGCGCGCTGGCTTAGTGGCAGAAAGTAGAGTTGACTTCCCAATTTAACTTTTGCTCACTTGACTAATCGTGTTTCCGGGCTCGTTGGCCGTGCGTTTTCATTCGTTCTTCCCTTTAGTTGCTCTCCGCCTCGGAGAAAATATTTTAGAGAACCCGTGCTAAAACGTGTTTTAGTAATGAGGATCATAAAAAAACATCCAATTAAAACCTTCAGCTTTTAACCAACTAAAAACTATCCAAACAGTAATGTTTTCCGGGGTTCTCTTTTCAATTTCCCTGTGTTTTCATGAATTCCCTGTCTAATTTATCGTTTACCCAGTCGCTACACAGTTGAAAATGACTGTGCTTATAGTTACTTTGAGTTACCTACGTTTTGTCGGCCATATCAACCGAAAAAGGACTTGGTTTTGTTGCGATTCGCGGATGAGTTTCGAATTTTTGCGTATTTTGTCACGTAAAATATTTGAAAAAGTGCTGAATTTTTCTGTCAACAAAGTCTTGAATTATTTGGGAGAGTACAGCCAGTTTTAGAAGACAACCTCCCGGTTTATATTATCGTTGAATGTCAGATTACAGAACTTCCACAGTGACGTCACACCGTTCACTGCTCGGAAAGGTGGCAGCCCGCTGAAACAATACGCCAATGAGATTGTTTGTTGCGATTCGCTGGTGAATTTCGAAATTTTGTCACATTAAAAATTTGAAAATTTTACCGAATTTTATTGTCAACGAGGTCTTGAATTTTTCGAGAAAGCACCGAAGAAGTACTGAACTTTCGAAAGCCAGTTTTAGAAGCTCTCGGTTTATATTACCGTTGAATGTCAGATTATAGAACTTCCTCAGTGGCGTCACGTCACGTCGTTAATTAATCGGAAAGCTGGCAGCCCGCTGAAACAACACGCCAATGAGATTTTTTGTCGCAATTCGCTTGTGAATTTCGAAATTTTGCGAATTTTTTAACATGAAAAAATTGAAAATTTTATCGAATTTTATTGGCAACAAAGTCTTGAATTTTTTGGGAAAGTACAGGCAGTTTTAGTAGCTCTTGGTTTACATTATCGTTGAATGTCAGATTATAGAACTCCCACAGTGACGTCACGTCACATCGTTAATTAATCGGAAAGCTGGCAGCCCGCTAAAACAATACGCCGATGAGATTTGGGGCCAGGGAACGTGTGAAATCGCACATGACAGTCCGGGCCGTGCCCGGGTGTGCGCGGCCTCGCCGTGATCCCCGCCGTTGCGGGATTTGCGCCGAAAACCTCTTTTCTCCCTATTCCAGACGACGTGAATTACGCGGTTTTTCGCGCCGCTCCCAGCACGACGCCTCCTCGTCGTCTGGCCGTTAATCCGGATCTTGGACCTGACTCTCGGCGGTTGAGTCGTCCCTGCCAGATCGTCACGAGTGTTTGCTCAGCCCCCCGTTCGGAGACCCGGCGTTTCCGGTGCAGCCCGCCGCTGTAATGAGGGTGACACCCCCCCCCCCTCATCCTTTGTGTCGTTGAAATTAGGCTAATCTAACAGTTGAAGCATGACCCGCGACGTATGTAAATCGCCCTCGAGTCTAATGAGCGAGAAACCGAGAGCGCCTGGATTTTTGAGGGTATGCAATTTGAGCTACATTGGAGTCGACATTATCGTATCGCGCATTTTGTTTTCTGGCTCGACGTCTCAATGAGGCATTGATGGAATGTGCCGTGGGGAAGGAGCACTTTGCACTTTGTGCATAACTCAGGCGTTTTGTTCTTTATTGTGAAATATTATTTTAGCATGTCGTGCATTTAATCACCTGTCTATGGAATATGTAAAATGTGAATACGTTCTCTGGAGAATGTATTTTAATTTTGAAATAAGAAATGCATTGGAAAATTGGTTCCCCGCGCAGTTTTCCAGATCGATTTCTCATGCTATAGTTTCAAATGATAATTCTATTGGCAGAAGAAACATTTTTTCGAATTAAACGATTCCCCTAAGATGCACCATACGACTCTTGTCTGTTTTCTGGCCCATATGTTTTTATAAGTACTAATCGGAAGTCATTCAGTATTTCAGTCATAAAGATTAAAAATTAAAAACCTAAAATTGATTAAATATCCAATACATTTCAACTTCTTTCTCAAACAAAATGAAATTCGATTATACATTATGCTGTATTTTAGTATTATCAGCCGGAAGCACCTGCTCTTGACCGTTATCTCTTACGTGTAAGGCTCTTAGGCCTCGAACAAGGTTTAAGTTGATTTATGTTAATACACCGAATAATCAATAATATATTACGATCGCATTATTCCATTCCTCTCTTTCTATGGAATCAATCAACAAAACATCATTAAAAAAGAGAACCTTCCTTTCTATTATAGGATATATATTTTAAATTATTCAGTCATACCAAACATTTTGAGACACGATTAGAGACCGACTGTTTTTTCCCCTAAAAGATTCCGTATCCTATCTTGTATTTTTGTTTTTTCCCCCGCAGTGGCTACGATTCTTATCGTTTGAAGTATGATAAATTCGAAAAGTGATCGACTCATGTGTGATACGTGTGCAAAGCATACATCATAATGACCTCTGGTCTTCCTACGGCCTTCGTAACGATCCGTTATCAGTGTTGTGATTCGAGAGCCGTCCTCTGAAAATGCATCAAGGATACGCGTGCAGACGACCGCATTCAAAATCGTCTCGGTGCCATACTCTCTCAGCGGAACCGATCGCATCCAGAAAATGCTGTTGCGAATAAAATGTTTTTCGACAACCGTGATTGTGGTCGATTATTATGAAAAATGAAACCGCGTAAGAAAGTTCGTCATAGCTGCAAAACGAGACTGAAGGTCTTATAGCGATCGATGAGTGCGACTTTCGGACGATGTGAAAAAAGGTGCTCCGCGGCGTCCCACCAGACCTTGACGGTACCCGATCCGTCTGACTCGGAATAACAAGATCACAACTCGCAATTGCGTTGGAAGCAATCTTGATCCGCTGATAGTTCAATTGTTTTTGTTTTGTTATTATTATTTCTCCAAATCGATTCTGTGTGAAGGTATAGTATAACGTTTTTACTAATCCTGTTATTTCTTGTTTTCCTCCTCTATTCCATCCATCCTCCCTTCCGCGCTTCCTCTCTCGTCCTTTGCCACTCCCGACCGACCATTACCATGAACCCTTTCCCGCCTGTTTAGGTAACTGCTCAGGGTGGCAATATGGTCAAACGTTCCCGCCAGCTTGCCACGACCATTCTTGTTATCATTTTGACTGCTGCGGCGCCGTTTACACATGCTGCAGAAGGTGAGTTTGCTTCTTGAATTTTAGTAGTCGTAAGAGAACACTAACGATCGAAGTAGATGATTCTACGATGCTCAGAAAGAAATGTAAATGTAGAAACTGGGTGAAGTATTTTTGAAGCCTCGGAGGCGGTAATATTAAACAATACTTAACACCTACCTTTACTGTTAAAATACAATAAAAAATTCTCAAAATTGAGAAAAAATGGTGAATTTGATCGAATATATGTTCCAAACCTCTGAGTTCGTGTAAAGTAGTAGTCAAATAGTTGAGTAAATTTGCGCATAAAAAAAGCCACTAGTATAATGATGAAAAGAAACTCCAGATCGCTGATGAAGAACACCAATTTGTGTTTTGTTTCAATATACTCGGGTAACCTTCCTTTGAAGTGCGCAATTTAACCCAATGTCTGACTACTATTTTACAGGAACTCCGAGGTTTAGAAAATAATTGACCAATTTTGCCATTTTTTTAAGTTTGGAGTATTGGTCTTTAATTCAAGTGTGTAGGCAGGTGTTAAGTATTGTTTTATATTATTTATCCTAACGTCTTTGCGATTTTAGTATATCATTTCTCCTCTTTTCGATTTTTTAAAACTTCTTACGACACATTTCATCTAACGCAAATGGGACGTTATTCACTGAAATACAAGTTTTAAATTGCCTCGTTACCTCACCTGGGTTTTTTTTAAAACCAAGAATTAAGCAGCGCCATGCCCTGAAACTCTCTATAAATCTCCCTTAAATCATAGAACATAAATTCATACAATCTCGAAGTCAAACTGTGCTCAGTATTTGAAACAGTGATATATGAGAGTCTATCAGGCAGTGTCTAACGCTGATTCTAGTTCAATTATGATACGCAATTAAAACACGTTATTTTTCGCCAATTTGTCATCAGCATGAACGTATAATGATTGTCAATTAAAGTTTCTGAATCGTCTACTTCCCTCGTTTGGAGTTTTAACTTATGTAGTCTCAATTTAATGAATTCAGTTTGACTGTCTCAGGTATTTGTTCGACCTTTCTTTTTCTCTTTGAGCACTAGAGAAAATTAAAGGAACATCTTGTAAAATATTCGTGGAATAGTTTAAAATGAGAGGCATTCTATAGGGAGTAAAGAGGGTCGGTAAGGAAGAATACTGTAATAAAAATTCATTATTTGCTTGATTTTCGAACAAATAATCGCAAGACTTAGATACTTTACTCCCCCGTAAAGGAAAAGAAAATTATGCATTCCGAGTAAAGCATTATGTCGTTTCATAGATTATTGGCTCGAACAACCTAAAAATTACCTTCGGTTGTGCGAAAGTGGTGCAGGAAAGAGCCATTCGCGTTTGAACCCTTCCGTTTTTAAGACTTACATAATATCTGGAGCTCCCTATCGGAAAGAAAAGACGGAGCTTTTATTTGTTTTTTACTATCTGGGGTTTCCTCATAGTTTTATGCGCGTCATTTTTATGTGCGTTTCCTTGCGGGGCAGAGCAGGATTAGCATTAAGATAAGAGATATATTTCCCCTGAGAAATTTGTCTAAGCTCTCAAAATGCGAACGCCACTTTTTCGCTCCTCGCCGGCATAATAGGTTACAAACTGTTTGATGTATGTTAGCAGTTATGTGTAGATATTATCAAATATCTGCCGTACAAACACCCGTCGAGAAAAGTAACATTATTCATTTCACTTTTCCGTGATGCCGCGGCCGCGTGCCGTCGGGCGTCGTGGAGTGCAAGCAACTTCCAAGCACGAAGGAGAGTGGAGCGCACGGCAAATAGAGAAGAACGAGAATTAAGAATTTTCGTTAAGCCTGCTCGCCGATCGAAGGGCAGACTATCTTTTCCGCGCAAAGTACATTTTTGGTAATTTTGCCGATTATCGTTGCCGCACAAAATCATTCTCGCACAAATCAGATCTCAATTAACATCTGGCAAGATACTCGGTCCAGCAGAATGAAGTTCAAAAGAAGAAATCGGAGCAGACCTCAGCAGATATAAGGCACCTCTTACTATATAAAACAGATTAAAGGAAAATATCTACATGTGACTGCCGGTCCACCATGCTGGCGTGATAGCGGATAGAGCATTTAAGTGCATTTCTGTATGAGCTATGATTAGCAAATGCTTTTTTTATGGGTCTCGAGGCTCATCCCAGCATATATTCACTGCTCTCTCCGCTATCACGGCAGCATGAACATTCATCATCCAGGATTTTAGAGAAAACCAGTGTGGTCAGAAAAATTATTCCCACTGCTTTCACTGTCGCACAAGTCTGTATGTTCTATTTTCTAAGATATATCTCGGTTTATTGTAGTGGATAGGAAGAGGGTCGGGTGTTGGGCTTTTTCCTAAATGTATCTGAATCCAAAAATTTCAACCACTCTACTCAAAACCCTGCTGTCAATCGTTTGCCTCGAATTTGCATCACTATACGCATCGTTCAACTCTGCATCACCTTTAAGTTTTAACGGAAACGCGACTCCATGTTTTTCTCCCGTAAAATTCCACAGAAAAATGTGCAGCAACTTTCCCGCGAGACGATAAAATTTCCATAGGAACTCGGAAGTGTCACAATGAAATTATACCACGCCCCGCTTCCAACGGTCATTCAAGAGCAAAACTTACTTCAAGTCCCGGATAATGCATGTCATGAATATATCGTCGACCTCAATTCGCCGTGACGTTTTAAGACAGTCGCGGAGAAATTGGGTCTTGGAATATTTCGAAAGTGCTCGGAGCGCACCTTTTTCTCGAATCAAATTTTGCTTAAAAGCGGTATCTGTATTCCTCCGCGTAGCATGGCGATGCGGGTTGCCTAACCACCAAGGCGCCTTCCACTCGCATCCATGGGTTGAATATCCTAATGGCTAAGTTGGGGCGGATCGGGAATTCGGAAATAGTGTTTTATGGTAATACGCTCGGCTCGCTCGAGGATCGTTTTGCCGGCGACGTCGATGCTCGATGCACGACGGAACTTCAACTTCAACTTCGTGTGTCGTGATCATTTGACTGTTGACTGTTGAATGTCTGATGTATTAACCCGCCGCCGCTCGACGTCGCTTGTTGCTCCTGAATCAATCGTAAGTGTATACTACGAGCAAAAAGTCTCAATCGTTTGAAACATCGCACAGTGTTGCATACGGCTGCACTAAGAAAAAACATCGTTTCATTTCATTGTGTAATTCTTTCTTTCTAAAATGACTAGCATTCACTGGAAAAAAAAACACATTGTATCTTGAGTCCAGGCTCTGAAAAACATCGACAAGAAAAAGTACTCTTGATTCAATCAGAATCTAGCTCAAATGAAGAACCAAGCCTTCTAATTTAAGCGGATTTCGTTTTGATTCAAGCAAAAATCCGATTGAATCAAGAGTATTTTTTCTTGTCAATGCTTTCAAGAGTCTGGACTCTAGATCCAATGTGTTCTTTTTCCAGTGTTTTAAAACTCTTCTACGCATTCCCTGATTTTGGTGCATAACAATGACCTAGATGGTAAAATAGTGTTGGGTCTGTTTTCTGCTACGGGAAAGCTAGGGCAAAAAATTCGAAACAAATACTGACTCCAATTGAAATTTTTGGGAGTTTTTTGACTGAATGGCTGATGGTCCAGATTTTGTCACTTCGGAGGGGCATGGGTGGTTGATCAAATTCTTTTGCACGCAAATAGATTTTCGTCGATTTCTCTTTTTCCGGTTTTTTCGTGTTCTAACAGATGTCAAATTTGTACTAGGTCAATAAGTGCCAGCAAGTATTGCTGACTTTGGTGCCATTGCCCATCAGTTGGAGTGTACTTCACAATTTGAAACTACAATATCAGGTTCACTTTAGAGACGACGTATGTACCATTCGTTCTCCTATGCTTATGGGTCTTTTTACGGACGGGTTGAAAATTTTAGTTCCTAATTGCAAAAGTATGTAGTCGAGGTGTACTGTCTACACCAAAATTGCTCCCCCCTCGTAAGTTTAAATGAAAAAGTAATAAATTTACGCGAATCGGAAAAAAACAGGAATTGTAAGTCTCACTATTTTATTTCGCATGATTCACGTGTGCTTTTTTTTCTGCACGTATCCGAGTCGCAAGTGATTTCGCAGGGACATCCCGGAACTCGGCGTCAACATAATGCATTTTAAATTCCTGTCAAATCTATTCGCTGAATGGTAGACAGGGTCCGCCCGAGGCACGTTTATTTTCAAGTATGCAGACCTATTTGAATTAAAGGCGACTCCTCAAGATTGCCTCGTTCCGACCGAAGCGCGTTCGCCAAACTGCCCGCAAAATCCGGACATCAAGGCTCCAAAGTCCTCATTCCGCGCAAAATATGACAACGCGGCGGGCGAGAGAGCTCTTTTATTATCCGTCCGCCAACTCAAGCTCGGCCAAATTTACGGAACTTGAAGCTCATTCTAATTGATGTTGAACTTCTGGAAAGAAACTTCCGGCGCTGTACCTTCGTTTGTAAATTTCTCTGAAGTGAGAACTTCAGAATTCGGCCGTTCAGTTGTTCAAGTTATTTTTGCGTTGTTAGGAGTGGTTGCTCATTGACAGAGAGTGTTAAAGTCTGTTTTTCCGGTCCTTACAAATAGGGATGGGAGCCTCTTTGACAACGAAATTGTCATTAAGTTGTTTATCTGGCGACGAAAAGGGGAGTGCCGCTCAAGTTTGGAGTGATGGATTCTGAATTAATCGGTTCCTGGAAGGGCATATTATTATGACCGCGTTTTTTTTTTATCATGAGATGTTAATCAAACTTTTGTTTTTGTTTTGTCACTAGTTCAGTTATATTGATGGTTAATGCCATAAGATTTGTACATTCGCCGCAACTCTTACAATTATCCTATAATTTTCTTCTTTTTTAAAAAAAATAAAAAGAAGAAGAAAACTGATGAAATCGTCTCCCCGAAATTAATTTTTGCAGATAATTCATGAATGAGTGAAGTGAGTTCGCAAAAAATTCAAACAGAGACAATATTTCGGAGTGATTTTAAAGTGTTTCTCGGTCAAATTTAGG